GGGCAGGGCACAGCCAGGCAGATGTTCTATTTCCTGTAAGACTGAATTGAAAGATCTCATGAGTGTACATTCAGAGTGGACAGAAACATAAGAACATAAGATGAATCCTGCTGGATCAGGCCAAAGGCCCATCTAGTCCAGCAGCCAGTTCTCACAGCGGCCAACAAGGTGACTATAGGAAGCTTGCAAGCTGGACCTGACTGCAACAGTGTTCTCCTTGCTTGTGATTCCCACTCAATGGTATACAGGGATATACTGCCTCTGACAGGAGAAAAAAAAACTTGGCGATTTTGGGGTGGGGATAATTTGAAATTTCAGGGAGGCTTACCCATTAGTGGAAAGCACTAGGTACCGCACTAGGTGGGTGTGTGCCCTGGAGATTCAAAAAGATTTAGGGCCCATCCACACTTATCACTTGTGCTGCTTTTTCCAGGCACATTTATCACTTGTGCTGCTTTTTCCGTGGTTTAAAGCTCCATGTTTTCTTTTTGCCCCATGAAAGCTCACTCTTTAGCATTCAATCAGAACAAGCATCAATTCAGGCTTTCTGTGGATTGTTGTTTGCTCCAGTTCAGCTTTAAAGAGCAGGTTTTTGTGGCGAACACATTTTGTAAAATGCAAAATCTAGGTACCGAAGGACATCAGGTTGTTTCTTTGGATTTTATCATTTAATGTTTGTGAGCATCCACCAACAAGGTTCTTGGCAGTCTTGTACCAGGACAGCAGATAAAATAAACGAGCAAAGAAATGGTGATCAAATTTCAAAGAGAAAGTCCCATGTAAAGATGATGTTGAATTTTGCTCCAACAAGAATAGGGCCAGATTATCTGGGATGTGCACTGAAGGAAAACTTTGGTTGGGATCCCAATTTGACTTGGGCCATTTCAGAGGCTGCTCACTTTGACTTGGATCCAAATCAGAACTGAACTTCAGCAAATCTGAAGTTTTGTATGCCTATAACAAATGGCTCTAACTTTTTTTCCAGGTTGGAAAAGACTTCAGCAAAGTTGGGAGTTAAAAAGTTAGCATGATATGTAGCAGATATATTGTTACCTCCTTCATTATGGAGAAGAGGTGATAGTATTGCAAGGTGATTTTGAAGCAGCCCTAAATTAGATAGTCATGACAAGGACTAGACATAATAATCAGTGAGGGTTAACCTCACGTCCTCTCATAGAGCAATCTACTATCAGCCATCCTGTGGGAAGGAGTCCAGGAGTGAGAGGGAGGCTGACGAAGTCCAGGTAGTGCTCTAGCTGGGCTTTGCTCCTCCCAGCCACCACCCCAAGCACAGAGCAATCTGCCATCAACTGCCATGGGGGAGAAGGATCCTGATGACTTTTTAATATGTTAGAAATGCTTATTGTGGGCTACATCCAGCTCAGGGCCTTTCATCACAACATTTCTAGCTGCTTGATCCAATGTTTTTAAGAATGAATTTGTAGCTGATTGTCTGCACTTTTGGTCACTTTGGTCAATGTTATTAGAGAGTAAGTTCTGAGTTTTCCTTTCCACATAAATGGTGGCTTGTTCCTGAATTGAGAACATTTCTGTGGCTGTAGTCACACCCCTTGAATAGTCTCATGTTCAGTGAACCAGGAAATGTCAGAATTATGAGCATGTGCACAGAAAACTCTAATCCTGTGGGAGTACAGGAGATTAGAAGAGGAACTTTGTGTCTGCCTGAGCTATGGCGAACCTGGTTAATGTGATGAAATTCTCTCCACAGTGAATGCTTGCTGCCAAAGACAATACTTTGACTCAGTACTATTGGCCCTATCTACTGCATCTCTACTTTGAATGCTCAAACCACTCCCAGCAACCCCCAACCCCTCCAACACACAAACCAGGGCAATGCTTGAACACCTGCCACACTAATGAAAATATTGAAGATCCATTCTGGATTCTTCATGAAAGCTGGCTTTTTTGTGGTAGATGGAAAAGTTGCTGGTTTTTCCCCAGTATGTTATTCCAGAATACCAACAGAGTGATGATACTGTGTTTTCAGATAAAAAAATCTGAAAACCCCCAGCAACTATATCATTATAAATGGTATATGTGGAAAGGTCTGAAGTAATTCTGAGACAAGAACTACTTACTACCCCCCCAAACTGTCCTAGGGGTTCATCCAACCGTCTGGAGCAGATTTGGGGGGAGCAGAAGGAGGAGGGGAATTCCATTGTGCAAGTGGAAGTTGTTCCACCGACACAATGACTTCACTCGACTCAACTCTTTGTTTGTAAAGTATGTAATTTAATTGTAAGCTCCCCTGGAAGGAATCCTATCCTGAAAGGCGGGATATAAATAACTGTAAAAATAAATAAATAAAGAATAAATAGAAGCAGACATAGAAAAATAAAGGTTATGGCATACATACAGTGTAAGAGAAACTGTATGATGAGATAAAGAAAATAAGGAACATTGTGGTTCTGGTGCTGCAGGCCCTGGTAGCTGCCAGCTGCAAATGCAAACTGGGGAGGCCTGGAAGGATTTTTGCATC